AGGAGCCCGCCAAGAGGCTTTATGTTAAAATATTAAAGCTATGTTTTGCTGATCAATATGACAAAAAGATCACTTGCTTCACGGTAAGGCTAGGAGGAGCAAGGGAGGTGGAACAGGGAGGGGGTTGATCGAAGGCAGGGTTTGGCCTGCAGACAAAGGGAGCTAACAGGATGTAAGGATGGAGCTTCAGCGGTCACCCAGGCAGGAGCTCATTGAAAGGGGTGGGGACAGGAAGGTCGGAGCGTGATCAAGAGCTACACGTGCACGCACAAGTACAAACACGCTCATGAAACCTACCATCAGCTCCACATAAATCACTCTTCCTCGCTGCTGTCTGAATCTGAGTGGCCGCTTGTGGCAATCTGTCCACAAAGCTCTGAGGAGTGGCGAACTGCAATTTTGCAGCTTCTCCCACATGTAGACTGATGAAAACATGTTTCTTTACATTTGCATCCAGAGAGGAGTTAAAGTCACATGAATGAGTGGCGTGGGTATAAACTGAGGCACTTTTACAGGCTTCCTCTGTCATGTCCTTTAACCCCCCCCCTTCTCGGTTTCTTGTTTTTTTCATTACAGTCTTGTTGAGAGGCCTGCCATATAACAGTAGTTCAATGGTGGTTTTCGGACTAAACAAGGTGGATATTATGCATACTGAAGCGATTTGTAAAATAATAACATAGTCACGTGCACATATGATGCTATTTTACTACTTATTACTTCATTCCCGACTCATATTCACAGTGAACAAGCTTATTGCGTGCACACTGCTGGCTTTTTAGATCTCTTCAAACAGTCCCTGAGGTCAACTGCAGTCTCTATATAAGAGTCGAACAGGGTGAACACATATTTCCTACCAAAGCTTCAGCTCTTTCCAAATAATTCCAGACAAACAGACAAAAGCAAGTCATTTCAATTGATCCTAAAAGCTATTTTGTAACAGAGGGCTTTTGTGGTGTGTTGCCTGGTGACGAGGGTGTGCTTGTGGGGGAGGGGTGGGAGCCCTGGCTGGGTCCACTGTACCGGGCTTGTCATTCATCCAAATGATGAAAAGCTTCCGGAGCCTAAGCTAATGAGGAGGTCTGAGAGAAAGTGAGGAAAGAGAGAGAAATGGACTATCAAAGAGATAAAATTTGGGAGGGAAAAAATTCCAAGTGTTTCCTGGACCGACTGTCGATTTAGAGGGGCAACAGGGAGTCAGTCCTGCACCAGCTCCCGACTGTGAGCTCACACAAACGGTTGTCAAGCAAATAAAAAGTAAAATTTATGGAGGGTGGTAGTGTGCAATAAGATGGAGGATTCATCCACTGGGAGGGCTATAAAGAGGCTTCAGTAATCGCACCACCTATTGCATCACAGTGGTGCAAGTCACTCTCTGTTGTGAGAGGGACTATAACCCAGCAAATTACCACTAAAACACAAAGACAGAGGCAACATTAACAAACACTGAACAGGAAAAGAAACAAACACGAGTCACTGGCCCTGTTAAGGAGAGCATTTCCTTATTTTGTTCCATTTGTCTTTGTAAAAATGTTGAAAACACTTTGTCCTATTTAATCCATGCCCACTGCATAACTCTGGCAGGCCAAGACAAGATGAAATAGAACAAGGTTTTATGTTATTTACCTAATACCTGGTGATGAGTGCCACGAGAACACATCTGGGCTGAACAGGTGACCTCAGAAACATGGAGTTGGAGGAGTGCCAGAAATTAGGTTTAGCAATAAGGAATACTATTTCACTCTTTACAGCAAATGTATAGTATTTCAGACACATACTGCAACAGAAATAATACAGGCATGAAAGCCACGTCGTGTTTCCTGTTTCAAGATTGGGAAAAAACAAGATCTCAATTACAACAATGAAGAGAATGAAAGATAACAATTAAATGAAACTGTAGTATTTTATGACATATGTACTAAAAGTATCAAAGACATGACAGATAAAAGAGTTTATTTCATTTTAAGACTACAAGTTCTTGCTTTTAGTGATGGCTTTTCATCGAAACTCTATTAAGGAGGAAGACTGACGACAAGAACAAAGCCTTGTCTCATTCAACGCTTTGTCAACAAACTGGTCAACACAGCTCAGAGGGTCAAAGCTCAGAGGTCAGAATGTGACTTTCAGTAATTCACTAGTCCCTACCTAATCAATACCAATCAAGGGTAAACCCGGAAAAGGTCAGAGGGAGAACAAAGCCAAGTCAAAACAGGATAAATCAACCGTGAAAGATTTTGAACTTGAGCTACCATGTTCACTCAAGATTTGCTTTGAGGTTTGCTCCTGGTTAAATTTATTCACTGTTCACTCATTAAATCTGTTTTCATTCATCGAATTTTCCAGAAGCAGAGGGAGCGAGAGGACTGCTTCACACTTGCATAATTCTTAATTGTTCATGCTAAAACCCTAATGAACCATTGAACTAAAGAAAGATTAATTTGCTTTACAGTTAAATAACAATTAGAAAGGCGTAGCTTGACGTTGTTGCGCCCTTAAAATTAAGTGTGATTATGATATGATTTGGAATCATCAGAAAGGATTTCAGATATATTCAAGGCAGATTAGTAATGCAGAGTGTTGCATGGTTGGAGAGTGGAATAGATGCTTTCACTGGATCACAATTCCACACTAGAGAAACATTGATATATATATATATATATATATATATATATATATATCAATGTTTCTCTCGTCCATCAAAAAATATTGCTAATGGAATCGACCCAGAGAATAATAACCATGTAGCTAATGCTATACATACTGAAATATTTAACAGCTTTACATAAAAATGCAAATTAACTATATTTGAGAATAGTGTATTTTAGGTCACAAAACCTTATTATCCCTCCAGGACCATGTGTTAGTCTAACTGGGATTCAAACTGAATCTCTAAATGAGTAGAGCCTGACTCATATATCAGCTTGAGTCAATATATCGCCTATTTCCCGGTATGTGTTAGCTATTTGCCGTTATATCTGCGGAATCTGCATTTCTAATTGTCGATAAATACAAAGAAAAGCAAAAATGGGGGAAACAACCTTCAACCACTGTATAAGTGTTGCCAGCAACTTTTCTGCTAGCAACACATGTCCTTGAAATGACACAAAGACAACAACCAGCTGATCTGAGCAGAGTTGGGTAGAGTATAAACGAGCAATCCACGACTTTTTGTCACATTTAAACATGATTATTTTTAAATTGTGTTGTTATATTAGATCAGCAAGGATTTAGATCTAGTTACACACTGCATGTGTGAGAGAAAAAAATATTCGATGATATATTGTATTTTTCAAATCTCTAAATATCGGTGTGGGCATTGTTAAAAACCGTACATCAGTCAGGCTCCACAAATTAATGTGGGGGGGTTTTTTCCACCAAGTTTTCCTACCCCTGATTCATTTTGTGAAATGAAGGGGCACTACTGTTGACTTTTCCCTCATGCAGAATCAAAAATGTGCCGCAACAGAGGATTCAATATGACCTTTGAAAAGAAAGACCTTTTAGGGAGGCTGTGAAAGGTTGCATGTGCTTGACAACGCCAGCCACTGAGCTGCAGTGACTTTTCCCTCTGGCCAGTGAGACGTCCATGCTAACCTCCCTATCCCACTGGGTTAAAAGCTGTATTGGGCACAACAGCACAGCAGTACCCTGTCTACATATAACCACAGGAATCAACAGGCTTCTGTGTTTGAGAATATACATAACAGAGCCTTCGAAAAAGACTTAACTCGGCACAATGTGGAGCAGTACAGTATCACTAAAACTGCAGGAGGAGTGTGGATCCTGGATGCCTTTGACTTAAAGTAAGTGGAGACATGCGAAACGGTGACAAGATTAAAAATGCAGTAACAATTAACCATGGCAACAACGCAGGGAAAACGGGGTTGAACTAGAGGGACTTCAAACAAAGGGTCTGGTCGTCATGCTTGAGAAAATGCACCTTGATGCCTCTACCACTGAGTGGGTTGCTGGGTTTCTTCGAGCTTATTGCACTCTTACAAAGCAGCTTGGAGACTCTCAGTATGAGCGCTTGTTAATGCTAAATTCAAAAGGCTTCTATTTCTAAGCAGCACTGCAGATGAGCATCAGAAAGTTCATTACACTCAAAGGCGTAGATTAAATTATTCAAGCAGCTGGGGATATATTAAGAGCATTTACTTGAGCATGCACAGCAGCAATACAGAGACTAAACCAAAATACCTGAGGTAAGCTTCCATTACAATGTTTACATTTTATTTATAGAAAAATGATCATAACTCAAAATCACAAGTAAGTGCTTGTGATTCTGCTTGTGTTGTAACTGCATTGACTTCCATTCAGTTAAAACAATCAGTTCGAGACAAACTGATATATTGGTATCCTGATATAGGATAATGTAGGATGATGAAGCCAGTATCTCATAATGACAACAAAAGAGCAATAAAATCAACAGAGATGTCAATCATAATCATGGTCAGCTAATTCCAGAGTGAAGGAGACTTCCTCTACACGACCATCAGCTGGACTCTTTTTTTTTTAAGTCCAAAAAAAAAAATTCTTAGTGTAATTCATATATGTCGTCAACTTTTGCTGTTTATTTCACCGTGCACTTTAATATACTGCAAGGGAGCACCGGTGTATTCAAATAAGTGCGACGCATTTAAACCAACCCATATGGAAAAGAAATAGTAAAAACTTATATATGATTTACTCATGAAAGTGGCCACTTTCTCATTACTTTCATATATTGTTTTAGTAAGTATCCAAAACATACAAGTTTCATTATATAATTTTTCAAGGGGTCTTATATGTGTTTTCACTCTTATATGCTTTTCATACAAGTTTCACACAAGACAGATACAAACTTTATAAGATTTATATATATCTTTTCCTTATGGGAAGAAAAATCCTCCCTGGCTGAAAAATTTCACTTCCAGAAACTACCCCCCAAAATTCAGTAGTTACTGGGGACTGCTCGCTGCTACTACCATTTATTTATGCTGATGACCAAAAGAAAGACTTACTGGCTGCCTGAATGCGTGCCTTACGGCTCACCACCAACCCAAAGGAATTCTGGGCGATGCACTCGTAGTCGCCCTCATCAGAGGAGCCGTCAGATTTGGTCTTCTGGAAGTGTGCAATCAGCAGCGAGCCATTGATGAAGGTGGTATGATGCTGGTCCTGAGTTAAAAGTAGGCCATTACGCCTCCACTGTGTCGTAATCGGGGGGATGCCATCCACCTGGCAGTGGAGCATGAGAGGCTGCTCCTGCACAGCAATAATGTCACTGGGCTCCAAGGTGAAGGACAGCTCTGCCTCGCACATCACACCTGAGGAAACACAAACACATACATTTTAACACAAAAATAAATGGTAAAATGGACTAATGTTTATATATTTATATAGCGCTTTTCTACTGTAACTCAGGACTCAAAAGGCTTTTTACAACAAATTTCCTTCAACCAATCACAAACCGTTTGTTTCTATACCTATTCACCTGGTCACACAGATGCACCGGGCCAACTCAGGGTTCATCTTGCCCAAGCCAGGGACTGAACCACAGACCTTGCAATCAAGTTCCATTACAGCTCCAGATTGAGCTATTGAGTGTGCGTGCAAAATGTGGTGGCGTTGGCTGTGTATGATTACTGGAAACCACACGACCTCGAGTTGAGTAACTTGCGTTACCCATGTTATGCTCTCACTTCCTTTAAGTCTATTTCATTCACACATTTTTACTGTTTCTGCTTTACTAAACTACAATCTCATTTTCATTTTTATCACCAATTCAGTGCTCTCCATTTAAATGTTAGCAGGAAGAGCGCTGCAGAGTTTGGAGTAACTGTCAGTTTAAAGATTCTTCACAGCTTTGCTTTGACCTAACATTAAACACAGGTGCATATAAAGCTCAGAGGAGTCAGCTTTAATAGTAATGAGTAAAAGCTGAATTCCTAACATTAAAAAAAATCTACACAGTGAGTGTAATAGTTGTAAAATATGTGTTATGTGACCTCCGCGATAGTCCTTCGGGGCCTTACTGCAGCATTCTATGTAAGGTGGAGAGATGAATGGACCCAATACCTATAATACATAATCCTTATGAAAACTCCTTGTGAAATCATACATTTATTATCTTATGTGCGTCACAAAATATCTTCCTTTTAATTTACATTTATTTTTCTCTGTCAAGTTAGTGAAGCTTTTTTAGCCTTTTTCAATGCCATCCATCCTTTTCAACAACCCTTACTACCCGGGGTCACAATGGATGCCAACCACTGCATCAAAGCTGATAATTTCCACATTAACCTCTGAAGCAAACAGTAACCATGTTCCTAATGTCCTTATAGCTGCTCACCAGGCCTCACACCTGATGAATACCCCTATGGAAAAGAAATATTAAAAACTTATATGATTTACTCATGAAAGTGGCCACTTTCTCATTACTTTCATATATTGTTTTAGTAAGTGTCCAAAACATACAAGTTTCATTTATATAATTTTTCAAGGGATCTTGAAACAGGGGATATCTGTTTTCACTCTTGTATGCTTTTCATACAAGTTTCACACAAGACAGATACAAACTTTTATTTATATATATCTTTTCCATATGGGTAAAACGCCTTGGCTGAGCCACCTCCGGGCTACAGTCCCAAGAGGATTCACCGTCTGTGGAGTGAACGCACCCCAAGCGAATGTATTCTTGTACTAAAGAAAAGCACTTGTAGTCTTCTAGTGACTGTACCGTTTAACCTGTGGCTGTAACACTGTCACAGCTCATTCGCACTTTCATTTTCATCCGTCAGCACAAAATTATGCAGTTTTTCTTAACCGCGCTCACAAATCTAATGTGGTTAGTGCAGATCAGATTTTCAGTGTCTGCAGTCTCTGAGGGTAAAAGAGGTTGCCGGGAGAATAATAAATAAAGGATGTAAACAGCCTGACTTGGCTTGGTACTATAAAAGAGGAGCTTAGCGAGCTCTCTTGGTATCACGTTTCAGCTGCTGATGGACTGAGCATTACCAGTTTCTGCCCCAGGCCTTGGAATCTGGTGGGACGGGCTAGGGGAGGGCAGCAGAGGGGGGCAAAGCACAGGGGTCAAAACACAGAACCTCTGGCTTCATCATTTCAAATTCCAGAAGAGAACCACTTCCCCTGAGGAAAAGGCAGGGAATTCACTGACACACTCCACGAAGATCACATATGGAGCATAATGTAAAGAAGCAGCTCTCCCTATGTTCTGTGTCCCTTCCTTACTCCCCCCCCCCCCCCCCCTCCCCCTTACACTCAACAAGCACGGTAAGTGAAATGACCATGAGACCAGAAGAGACATCAGTGGTACCACTTGTGAAAAACAAGGGGGTGGTATTGGAGGAATAATTAACCCTTAGCTGTCAGATCCTGCTGCCTGAGCTGCTGCTCTTTAAAATGATGCCGGCCACAGAGCTCCATCTCGTTTGATCCAAATAATATCCCGCTTTCAAACAGAATCAGTCGGCAGATTTAAAAGAAAAAGAAAAAGGCAGCAGCCACACACCCAGGATGTTTTCCACTCAGCTCTACATTATTTGTGTAAACTGAAAGTATATTGGAGGCTTTTTATTCTCCTCTTTCAAAGCTGGCAAAAAAGACATTAATCAATGTTATCAAGCCTCGGAGCAGACAGGATAATAACATTTTAGTGTTCAGTGTGTATACGGGCTCATTGATCTGGAGTGGATTAAACAACTTTAATGATTTTGTGTTCAAGCAATCAGAGTTTCTTCCATTAGCTAAAACAATCTGAGGTTGCTGGGCTCTGGCTTTCCCTATAAATATAGTGTGCTGCTAGAGTGATTGTTTAATGCCATTCTGAGCACTGGCTCGGTAGAAGGTTACAAACAACAGTATGAGAAAGGTCAGGGAAAATAATTTTCACCACAGCAGCAGATTATAAGACAGATAGATCCAATAATGCACAGGCAGAAGGAGGACAACAGAAGGAGGGGAGAGCCGGATTTTGCGCTCTGTGTGCTTTAGGTTAAGGTCATCTGTGAATGCCGAGCATCCAGGGGTGTGCAGAGGGAGAGGAAATCACAGCTGTACAAATTAGTGGCAAAACCAGTGGCCTAGCCACAGAAACACGTTTGCGGGCATCAGGGTCTTCAGGCTTGGCTCTTCGTGCCTTGACGAGGAGACAGACACACATTCACACAATTTTATGCTCTTTTCATGCCCAGAAAACAGGCACTAGCGCAGGGGATTAGCGGGTAAGACTAGAGACGACCGTCAGCTAAGTGCAACTCATGCTTTGGCTTGCTTACTATTGACAGATAAGTGTGGCGGGCTGGCACTAAGATTTATTGCTGCAATAGTAGAGTGAAGATGACACCCAGTGACTCACAGACAGATCAGAGCTAGCAGACACAAGCGCCACTGACAGAGCTAAGTAAGCTCAGGACACACCACAAGCAAAGTGAGGATACAAAGTTACTGATATCATATCACATGATAGCACAATAATAATGGGTGTAGTCCAAGTCCAGACATTATACTTAACTAAACTTAATCAACTAGATTAGAATTACTTACAAAAGGCCTTGTTGAAAAACTACGATCTGTGATATAGTCTTAGAGATTCAAGTTAAATATGACATTAAAGGAAAAGTAAGGTTGACTAAAGCAGTTTTATCAGTAGTTACCTGCGTTCTCTTCTCACTCTGTCATTATGTGCGTGTTAAGTGTGACTCTAAATACTGCATTAACTCAAAGATGGGGTTTATTTTCAATGCATGGCTTGATTGAAATGCTTCCCACACTTCACAAGTACACACACACACACACACACACACACACACACACACACATATATATATATATGAACTGTAGATGGAAAAACTGCGGCGGCACTATCTTGTGAGTGTCAAGAATTAAATAAAAATAGACTTTTAAAAAAACACCAAAAACTTGAAACTTTAAGTATGATTGAGTGCGTAAGTGCAGATGAAACAAACGAGAGTTGTGAGCATGAATAAAACCATTAAAATGAACAACTTCAATTCCTTTGCTGGTTATAAAGCCTCTAATGTCTGGCTAAAAACAAACAAACAAACAAACCAATATTTATTTCTTTTCCTGGGGGAAGACTATATGTGCAGGACTGATGCTAAATTTCCCTCCTATAGGCTTCAGCTTGATATATTATTAATCAATACTCTGGTTTTCTAGCTACCTTTATGCTCCATCGCATTAAAGAGCGTGCTGCTTCAACTGATATTTACCCATTATAATAGAAGCTTGGAGCTGTTTAGTTATGGTAATAATGCTAAGAAGTAGCCCATGAGGTGAAAAGAAAGTAGTTGCACAGTTCAGCTCTCTCCATTACTCATCTGTTGCCGGTGAACTGCGCAATCTTCCCTCAGATTAACCAAATCATTTTGAATTAAAATGCAAATCAGTTTGGATTTTTGATGCTCTCGTTTTTCTCTGAAGCTCGAAACTCACAAGCCACCTCAGAGCCGTCCATTCAAAGCAAATAATTAACCCTCTGATAAACTGAACTTTTTTTTAATCGTGAGATCTTCAGAGTGATGCTCTGAACTCTTCCTGGCTCTCTGACTTCTTCAGTCCCCATGAGATCTAAGGCCAGCTTTGGTCTGAATTCTTTTCTCTGTGTTATCAAAACTGCCTAAAATATCATAAAAAGTGCCTTTATCTAAACTGAATCTAATCTCTGCGGCGGCCAGGCACTTGAAAGCGCTTCATTTCCTTAATGTGATGGGAAGATTGGAGCTTCATCCATCACAGAGCTCTGTTTCTGACGTTTTTGTTCCCAGCCCTCTCGCTGAACATGTTATGAACCACTGTGTACAGGCCTTTATGATTCCAGTGGGGCCTTTGTGGGTCCCTGTGTGGTATGCTTTGCAAATACTCAATACTCTCTCTTGCCTTTGAATTAAGGGGGCCCCACATAGAGCGAGAGAGAAACTGTCTGTCATATTGAACAAAGGGATGTGAAAGAAAATTTGAAAAGAAAGAGAGAGACAGTCTTGACATTTAATCTGTACAAATATTCTCCCCAGCAGGCAATAACTACAGTCGTTTAATCTATTCTGAGAGCAATAACCACTGTCACCTCACCCAGTCGCAGGGTGGTGTGCTCTGAGGACTGGACAGTCAAGACCTCCATCTGCTTTGAAAAAGTCCCCTGATATTAAATGAAACTATTTATGAGAGGCGCATAGTCACTTTTTACAAGTTAGCTGTGAGTTAAGCCCTTCTAACCTGCACACTGTTGGCTCCTGTTGGCAAGACTTTCTCTGTGTAGGCAATCATAGTTCACCCTTAACTTTAATCTAATGTGGATCAAAATACGTGCAAATGAGATATCGACCCTCATTATTGGGGGACTACAGCAAACTTGGGTGGGATGCCTCGTATCGTGGAGCTACCTGGACATCTGAGTGCTCCGAAGCATCTGTGCGTAAAAACACTTACAGTACAAGCGCTGCAGAAAGCACAGAGTACAACTTTAAGCACACTCCAGGTGTTGGTGCACATGTCGGCAAAGTGCACACAGGCATTCCGCGGTGCACGAGACACAAGGGCGCTCACTCCGGCTCTTACTGCCCAGAATACAAACAGACACCGGAGAGGGGCCAAGTTCAGGGTTACTGGTCACTAACAGGCTCGCTGCTTGCTGTAAGCACCGAGCTGAGAGAGGCTGTCCTCCTCTGTCACGCTGTTACACTCTGCTGCATACTACGCTATAAGATAATGCCACTTACCGATTAAAGCGTTCAGGAGTATTCCCAAAAAGCACAGAAGGCGGCGGCGCCTTGTGGGTGCCATTTAAACACGGAAGATATTCCAGCACTCGCAGAGAACAACGTGAGATGAACAAACACGGGCCAAAGAAAAAAAAAGAGCGAAAGGAGCGCAGACGTCCAGCTTCAGATACTACATGTTCCGACCTACAGTGCTACATTGAGGTGGTGGGTCGCAGGGGTCGAACGAGATTTCGCCATTTTTAACCATCTATCAGCAGTCTGTCAGCATCCCGCTCTCTCTCTCTAGCCTCCTCACTCACTCTGCTGTATCCTAAAAACTGCCTCAACCCCCTCTCTCTCTCTCTCTCTCTCTCTCTCTCTCTCTCTCTCACACACACACACACACACACACACACACACACACACACACACACACACACACACACACACACACACACACACTGAATCTGGTCTCAAACAAAAGAGCCGACTGCAGACTGTTTTGCTCTCAGTGCACGAGAAACCTGCACAAGCGGCATGATTTCTGCATGTCAGGAAAACAAAGCCAACCTTGTATCAGTACAGATGACTGCTCCTAATTACAGCAATCAGTCATTATCCCAATAATAAAAAAGAATAATTAATTGAGATTATATCGATTTTCATACGGGAAATATGACGTAACAAGCCTCAGATATCAGTAAATTAATAAATAAATTAACAGACTGTGACAATGAATGATTTTTATTGTATGAAATAAAAAATAGCAACCATCTGGTTCCAAACTGAACACATGACATCTGTGTCTTTAATTGTTCGTTAGTTTGCGCTGGTTTGGGTTTGTTTTCAGCTTCAGTTCTACGAGGACAATGAAACCAAAATGGTGTAACTGTGTCAGGTTGGCTGTATGTGTTTTATTTAAAGCTGATGGTTCAGCACAAGTAAACCTGATATGATAAATAAGGAAGGAGGGCTTCCGAGCACAAGGTTACGACAAAGCTCAGCTGTTTAGCTGTAGACGAGCTCCTCCTAGTGGCGGTATTTATGAATCTGTGTACACCTTATCTGTGTCAGCCATGCGCTCCGTTATTTACTGGACTAACACGTGTCACATGTTTAAAAAACCACACTCAGTGATGACTTCATTAGGTGCAGCCTGCTAGTACCGGGATGGTCTTCAGATCGATTCTGCAAGTTGCAGGAAATTCTGGTCCATGTTGACATGACAGCATCACACAGTTGCTGCACATTTGTTGGGCTGTACATCCATGATGTGCACTGAAAAAAAGGGACTGGCCATCTCTTGGATTTATGTAAGCATCTTGCATGTATTTAACACAATTGCCTCATGTTTTAAAGTTAAATGTAACTATATAGTGTAAAAACTACATGATATGCAGAAAGGGTGTATTAAATTGTTCATATCATGTTCAGGTGAAGTAAGTTAATAAGATAGCAACGTTAAATCTCATGAAACCACGCGTGATTTCATCTCGCGGGCTTTGGATCGTGGTTTAAAAAAGGCATCCATCTCAGTCAAGTCGAGCAGCCAACTCTACGTTTTTGGTATGTCTTGATTTTTTGAATTAATTTTTACCATATTTCAGCCAAATGTAGTTAAACGTCTAGAGTGTCGCCATGTAACATGCTAAAAAAGAGCCGTTAGCTTATTTGCTGTTTTATCTGTTGTCAAAGAATTGGCGCTTTTTCATTTGAATTTGTCTTTGGCACAAGAGCCGTAATATCACATTAAACCTAATTACGAGGCACTCATAACATAATTTGGTTTTCTGTGTGAATAGATTTGCCAACTGACTCTTCAGTTACATTGTGTATTTACTGCACCGTGGTGTTAGTGAGATTTTGGACATTGAATAGCTTTAGCTAATATCATCAGCGGCATTATGCTAGCTTACATCCCTACCCCTCCTGCCCTCACCTGCTGTCCTTTTGTTTTTGTTTTTGTTGATGCACATTGAGAGACCACATCTATTCGGCATTTCACCAGGAGTCAGCTGATGGATTGTGGGTTCAAGGTGTTATGGTAAGAAAGTATATTCTATTTTCGTTTCTGTAACTTAATTATAATAGGTTTTTTATAATTATTAGGTGCATGCATACTCACCCTATTAATACAACTGAGAGATCCAAAATCTGCCATAGGTTTAACTTATACCTGTATGTATTGCCAGAAAGGTGATTACTGGACTCACATTAATGCACACTTGAACTAAAATGAGGTTGTAACTTGTGGGTTGTTGGGTTGCAAATCAGAAACAAACATCTTTGGATTTTTTTAATCCCATAAGATCTGGAAACACAGTTTTTATTCAACAAAACATTACTGATTAACCAAGCACAGTGCCTGCTGTTATTTCAAAATAATTTTATGTCATTTCAGATAAAATGCAGCATTCCAGTGCATCCCAACCATGCATACAGTCAAGGTTTCTGACGGAGCTGAGTTTCTCTCTGACAGTCTGCTGAAAGTGTTTGCAAAGTGATCGGGGGAACAGGGCACAAAGCTAAAGGATGTAGCTGCCATTATGACAGTAAGAACTTTAAAATTCTTTAACTACAAAGTGTATATGTATTGCATTAGGTCAGTAAAAGATTTTTATGCTACATCCATTGAAACAGTCAACTATTACCTGTGAGTACCGATTCCACTAAAAGGATGCCATAATTTTCGTCATGCATTTACTGGCCCACTGAGAAAAAATTATCTTTTTTTAAAAATAAATGTTCTGGAAACTATATATCCATAAAGTTGATGTCAAACAGGAACTTTTGATATTGCTTTGTAGATGCTGGTGTTGCATGTTGACTGGTTTAAAAAGTCAAGAGTTTTTGTCTGGGATCATTTTCTTCTGTGCTACTGAAAAGTTCACAAATCTCTGTTTTCTTTGTTATAATAGTCAAGGATGACATTAATGCTTGAAGTCCCTCATCAAAGTGCTCCGCATCTGTGTGAAAGACAATTGCAACATCTTGGTGCAGGAGTTCATGGTGAGTGTTTTATGAGTAGGTTGTGGATTTGCAACATTTAGAAATGCATTTAGTTATCCACTTGATCCTCATTGGACTGGTTAGGACCAGTAGTCCTCTTTAATAATTTGAAGTTCACATGAGGCCTGGTAGTGAACTCGGCCACCGGCCCTTGAGGCCCCACCCCTGTATTAGGGGTCACATCAGTGTGAAAAAACTTTAAATTTGTCATTCTAGTGAACAAAGAAAAATCCCACCAATATTTACATTAGCTTTTGTTTGAAAAAAAAAAAAGACCAACTGACCAACAGCTAACCAAATTGTGGGGCTGAAAGTCTAAATTCTAACATCTTCTGAGTGACATAACCTGGATTTCTGATGGGCCGGTGTCTTTCTAACAAAAACTAATGTAAAGCATTTGAAATTATTATGTTTTTCACCCTCTCTTAGAAACTCTGTTAGACCATGAATGGCAGCATGGCAGGCCACTCTTTGGCTATAGCTATTTACTATGTTGCTTGCATTGGTTTAAATTACTCTAACATTAGAACTGGTAGATTCAAAAGAGATGAGTTTAAAAAGGAATCTTAAAGAAATGTTTTGTGTTTAACCAGGACTTGACTGAGGCCACTGCACAGATTGAGAAAACCACAATGAACATCTGTCTCCAGAGATGCGCCAGGCAATGACTTTTCTGATGTTGTTCTTCAAGATCTGGATAACGTGACCTTTGCAGTAGCCATGCTGTTTGGACCTTTTTTATTCCTTCAACATGAGTTACCCATCACAACTCTGCTACACTTTTGAGGTGATTCAAAGGGTGGTAATGGAGTTGGATGCAACTCAGCTCTCAAGAAAAGCTCACAACTAAGACAAAACTGCTCCTGCAACGAAGCTCACTGTTATGCATGTGAGTTGATCAGCTCTAGGTGAGAGGACATTTAAATCTCACACTTGTTCTGCTGCATTTTTGAAGCTCAATTCCAGGAGCAGATCGCAGGGTTCATTTTTATATACTATGCAACTGCCATGAGGACGAGCCGTTTTTTTGTTGTTTGTTTTTCCTTTTGCTCTGTACAAGTTCTCTTTGTCTGTTTGGCAGCATTTTTAAATTTGTCTTTGTATTTTTTCTTTCTTTTACTAGTGAAGAGATGTAGCGTGAACAGTTATACAGTCTAAATATCCCATATGGGTCGTGTGAAATGGTATTTTCAATTTTATTCAGTTGAAGTAAAGAACGTTGAATATTTCTAAGTGTGCTGTTTTGAACCAAGATGTCACAGTATGATCAGTGCTGTAATTTTTGACAGTCACTGTATCAATGTTATTTTTGCGTCTCTTGAATAAAGGTTTTGACCTGCAAGTGCTAATTTCTTTAGTTATTGGGGTAAAATGGGTAGTGTTAATAGGAAGGTGTTTGCCAATTCAGTAACCTAATTTAATGTTAATGGAAACTAACATTACCTCAAATTGTTTAGTTATAATTGTTGTTTAACTGAATCTTGATGTCAGAGGCCTTAAATAGAATGTTTTGATTTGTTCTTTCCCAACATTTTTCAAAAGAAACAGTCTAATTTCTTTACTGTGATTGATTCCAGAGAACACGGAAGAACTGACATTATTTAACTGTTGATTTATGTAGATTCAGTGGAGGAGTAATGTCAGTTTAATTCTTTACCTACTGTCAATGCAGTGAAATTAGACATTTTGTTTTGAAAGGTTACTGGTGGATGCCAGCAACCATCTTGGAAGAGAACAATACAATCTGTTATAAGGCCTCCATTTGAAAATTGTGTATTTGATACTAGAATATAATAGCAAAATGTAATTTGAAGATAACATGTAGTATTTAAGTGACCAAGTAGTATTGGGTAAAAGTTATTGAATCGTGTTGGGATAACGTGAGAAAATTGTGAAGGATTAAAATATTCCAAGAGCTCAAATTACTTCATCAAAACATGTTTAAGTCACATTTTATCAACACAAATTGCACAAGTTTATTGAACATGAATAAATTGTGTTAATTTAACTCAATTGTTTAAGTTGCTGCCGAAGCAAAACATCTGTGTGCAACAAATGTCCACCATTGAATTAAGTAAATCCAACAACATATTTTTTTCAGTGTGAATCCTACCACATCCCAAAGGTGCTGTACTGGACTGAGATATTTCAAGCCTTTATTTGTTATAATTTTGTTGGCCATGGCTTACAACTTGTGAAAACCCCCAATTCAAAAGCTCAGAAAATCAGAATATTACACGAAAACAATAAAACAAAGATTTTAAATAGAGAAATGTCGGACCTCTGAAAAGTAATCATGCATATGTACTCGGTACTTGGTTTGGGTCACATGAATTACTGCCTCAGTGCGGCATAGTATATATGCCCTATGCCACTGAGGTGTTATGTAAGCCAGGATGCTTCAATAGTGGCCTTCAGCTCTTCTCCATTGTTCAGTCTCATGTCTCTCATCTTTCTCTTGGCAATGCCCCATAGATTCTCTTTGGAGTTCAGGTCAGGTGAGTTTTCTGACCAATGAAGCACAACAATCCCATGATCATTGAGCCAGGTTTTGGTACTTTTGGCAGCGTGGGCAGGTGCCAAGTCCTGCTGGAAACTGATGTCAGCATCTCCATAAAGCTCGTCTGCAGAAGGAAGCTGGTAGACGGCTGCGTTGCCACAGGATGTCCAGAACTCAAAGGACAAATATCAGCCAGAGAAAATTCATTGAATTTATTTAAAATAGCTGTTTTAGGTCCTCCTCCTTTAACCCTTTCATGCATGGATTATGACAACTTCAATCAGGATTTTTCTCTTAAGTACTTTAATTCATCTTTTCATGCCTAAAGATGAAATCCCTATTGAGGTTGGCATACTTCATGCATGACAGGGTTAAATAGCAATAATTACAATGAAACACGACATACATCTCTAGTAACATTAAACGACCAGTGGGTGGCAGGGTATGGCGTGACACATCAGTGTCCGGTGTAGTGGTTTATGTGCAAGTATACCATCAACACTGACACAAATACAAGAAAACAGCCTTTGAATAGCTGTCCACTGTAGTGACCACTATGCGTGAAAGGGTTAAGGAGCAAAGTTAGCTTTAAGCCAACCCTGCTGTTATTGGCTGCCCCTCGCAAACAGAAGGTTTGAACACTAGGTATCTGTGTGTCTAAAACTATGTATGGCTGTGGTTCATTGGGCAGAGCTAGTTCAGTCCCCAGTTCTTACAGTCTGCATGTAGAAAGTATCCTTGGGTAAGATGCTGCTTCCCAAGTAATATCTCTGTCTAAATAAATAAATAAATCTGGGTAAATTCCCAGATGATTAAACATGGAACTATTTTCCTGGTAATACCTGAAATGAGTAAAGAAAATCAACTTATTTATACCTATTTATGCAAGATAATTCATAACTTTATTGAGGGGGTTATATTGGTTGGGTCTGATTATTGGGGGGGTCATAACCTCCCTAACCACCCTGGAAATTACGCCCCTGCTCCCAAGTGTCCTCAGATGCTTCTATCAGTGTGTGTGTGTGTGTGTGTGTGTGTGTGTGTGTGTGTGTGTGTGTGTGTGTGTGTGTGTGTGTGTGTTTTACCCAGAGTTTGGTGGCTATAGCATTGGCTTGTGGAGGGAGGAGGAGGCCTTTTCTGTCAAGCAGACAGAGACCTTGTGTGTGCTGCGAAATAGCAACAAGGGTTGAGAGCAGTTTATCAGATGTAAGCATCAGCAAGGTCTCAGCAAAAAAAAACAATTAGGCAAAGCAAAAAGCTTGTACTAATGTGTGTGAATGAGTGAAAGATGTGTAGAGTAGAAAGTGCTTGAGTGCTCAGTTAATGTAAAGAAGTGGTCTACGAGTACTAAAACATCCTCGTCAGCTACTGAAAATCATCTTTAGCATCTTTAGTTTTTGCATTTGTTGTGGTCAGGAACTGGCGGGAGAAAATGAATGAGAATATTCCTCTGGTCTTTAAGATAGAGTCATTTTTTTCTGCTCATTTCCAGTTAAATATTTTATTTGTGGATTCCACTATATCGCTTCGCATAACTCACAGTTTTCTCTCTCTCTCTCCACATATATAGATATAGATATAAAATATCCCCCGCTCACCCCTGCAGGCAGTCTATCCTTCAAGCTCAGGTCTTCTACCAGAGGCCTGGGAGCTTGAGGGTCCTGCGCAGTATCTTAGCTGTTCCCAGGACTGTGCTCTTCTGGACAGAGATCTCCGATGTTGTTCCCGGGATCTGCTGGAGCCACTCGCCTAGCTTGGGAGTCACCGCACCTAGTGCTCTGATTACCACGGGGACCACCGTTACCTTCACCCTCCACATCCTCTCGAGCTCTTCTCTAAGCCCTTGGTATTTCTCCAGCTTCTCGTGTTCCTTCTTCCTGATATTGCTGTCATTCGGAACCGCTACATCTATCACTAAGGCCGTCTT